CCATGCAAAGCCTCATCACACTTCCCAAGTCCAACAGTGGTATGGGCAACCATGGCCATACCCACCTCCATCTCACCCCATACAGTGGCCCCCATGGGACCCATGGCCAAATTTTAGGGAGTAGTATTCCTCCTTCCCCAACCCTGACACACCATTGAGATAAGCATTGACATCTCCATCTGCTCCGAGCATTCCTCCCACAGAAATTCAAGATGAGGATACTTAGGACAGAGATGACACCTTAGAGGTTCAGCCAATGGAAGCCGCCTCCACCTTATAGTTCCTCCTCAACACCAGATGAGATAATCGTACCTACAGCACCCTCACCTGCAGACAACCTGGAGCAATTTCAGGAATTATTCAAGAGACACCTCTTCAAGAGGTACAAGAGAAACAACACGAGTTGCTCCAAATCTTACAGCCTATGGTACCATCTAAGTTTGCACTGCCAATAGATAAAGCCACTATGGAGGCATCCGATGACATATGGCAGACACCGGCTTCTGTCACACCAACCAATAAGAAGGTTAATAGGAAACATTTTGTCCCCGCTAAGGACATGGACATTCTTTTCTCCCATCCTCAGTCCAACTCATTAGTTGTTGATGCGGTCTGCCACTGCAACAAACAACCTAGTTCAAGACAGCGCCACATGACAAAGATCATAAGACACTGGAGTTATTTGGCTGAAAAATATACTCTTTTGCCACACTACAGCTCAGAGTAGCCAATTACTCTGCCCTTTTGACTAATTGTAATTTCTCCACTTATGCTAATTTGGAAGAACTTTTGGAGCACCGCTTGGAACAGAAATGCCCTATTCTGAAGACTGTCGTAAAGAAGAGAGAGACTACAGCTCATACATCACTACAATCTGTGCTCAATGTAGCAGACTCGCCTGCTCATGCAACCACACTGTCAGTGATTATGCAGCGAACATCTTGATTCAAGTCTTCAGAAATTCCCAAAGAGCTCCAAATTAAAGTGGAGGACTTGCCATGTGACAAGAGCAAACTCTTTTCCACCAAAACCAATGAGGTTTTGCACTACCCTTCATGTACTTGGCATGTGTACATCATCAGCCAAGTGTAGGCGCTCCATGACATCCCAAAGACCCAGGGAGATCACACTTGGTCATCCCCAACATTAGACATTTTGATTCCAATAGACCTAAATAGAGATCTCAGCAGAGGAAACCGCCTGAGGTCCAGTCTTCTGTGAACCAGGCCCCTAAACAACAGTTTTGAGGCTTTGGTTAAGAGTCTGCACAACCTCCCCCCACACACAGTGTTAGCTCAGTCCCATTTTATTTTTGTCCATGGTTTACACCCATGTTACCACCTATGGGCTACCATAACAATGGATCGGTGGGTGCTGGAAGCCATACAAACAGGATATGGCATACCCTTCCTCTTTATGCCTCCTGACATACCCCTTTCCCCATCCCTCTTCAGGGACCCTTCCCACAAGCACCTTCAACTGTAGGAAGCCAACCCACCTCCTATATACAGAGGCTTTGGAACTGGTCCCAAGCCTGTACTTCAGGAAGGGTTTCTATTCCAACTGATTCCTCACCGAGAAGAAGAGCGGAGGGATGGAGGCTTATCCTGGACCTTGTCAAGATCAGGTTGCCAATCTCCTGGACCAGATGGACCAGACTCCATTGCTGCAAATGGCATCCAGTCCAGGAAATTTGGCAACCCTCACTGCTCCAGACTGGGGTTACAACTAGGAGCAGTGCAGAGTCCTCAGCCTGCAGCAGGACCCTGGAGCCAGTGGGCTGCAGAGCTTATGGCAGGGGGAGCAGGCAGTGGGACCCTGAGAGCCAGTAGAATTTGTGAGGTCAGTGGGTGATGGAACCTTGAGAGCTGGCGGGACCAGCGTGATCCTGGGGATTTGGCAAAACCTGAGGCAGCAGAACCCCAGGGAGCCAGCAAAGCATGTGGGGCCAGCAGAGTGCAGGGACGTGGGTGCAAAACCTGGAGGTTCTGAAGCACCCCCCCCACACACACACACACACTTCCAGCCTATGTCTGCAAATGTAATCCATTGAATTTAAAGCAATGGAGTAGCTGACAAAGACACAAAGCAGCCACACAGAGTACAGAGAAAGGATTATCTCAGACAGAAACCTCTCTGGAAAGCTTAAAAATAATCTTGGGCTGGGCTACCAACTGCCATCAGAAAGTGTCTTTGCTTAAAGGCTAGCAGTTTATTCATCATTGGGTCAGAAACCGATCCGAGGACTACCTGGAAGTGCTTTGCAGAGTGCAGTGAGAGAACCCCTGACTTATCAAGCCCAGATTTTTTCACTGCCTTGCTTGTCTGTAGAACTGTTTGTGTTTGTGATGCCCTGAGAAAGGGCCGGTCACTTTGAAAGGTGGTTTCTATTTTATATCCCAAATGGGGGACTTTTGGGGGACTATCTCTTTCTCTCTGTACAAAAAACCCTCAGAAGAATGAATCCGTCTGCCCAAAAGTATTCTATTCATTTTCTTCTCATCAAATACAAAACAAGCAAATACTATCTTAAGTGTAATAAGGCAACAATTTTCACACATAGGAGCCTAAACTCAGAGCTTGTTTACACAGACAATTAGTTTATGGCAAACTGAGGTACAAATCTTTCCTGCACGATCTGTTATGGACTGCCTGGGTACGTCTACACTGCATGGCTCCGTTGACGGATTTAGATTTGTTTATTGGGCAAAGGGAAATGAAGCGGCAATTTAAATAATCGCGGCTTCATTTAAATTTACATGGCTGCCGCGCTGAGCGGACAAACAGCTGATCAGCTGTTTGTCGGCTCAGTGTGGCAGCCATGTAAATTTAAATGAAGCGGCAATTATTTAAATCGCCGCTTCATTTCCCTTTGCCTACAACCCTCATCTACATGGCTCCGTCGATGGAGCCATGTAGTCTAGACACAGCCCCTGTGTGCAGCTGCTGATCTTTATTAATAATTAGTTAGGATAAAAGTGCATTCATGAATTATTAATGCACGTCAGCAGGATGCACAGAGACAGTTAGGCTACGTCTAGACAACAGGCTTCTTTCGGAAGAAGCTTTTTTCTGAAGAGATCACCTAAAACAAACCTCTTCTGCAAGAGAGCGTCCACAATGCAAAAGTGTATCAAAAAAGCAATCTGATTTTTTGAAAGAGAATGTCCATATTGAATGGACACTCTCTCACATGTAAGCTGCGATTGCTATGGCTGGAAAGGCCACCAGGGCATCTGTGTTTTTCCTCTTCTTCCGAAAGAACTCCCTCTTCCCCATCCACACATGCCTTTCTGTGAAAGAGCACTTTCGGAAAAAGGCTTCTTCCTCATAGAATGAGGATTACCAATGTCGGAAATTGGAAGCTCTGTTCTTTTGATTTTTCTTGCGGAAGAACACAATTGCAGAGTGGACGTTCCTCAAGTTTTGTCAGAAAAACGGCCATTTTGCCAACAAAACTCTGTAGTGTAGACATACTCTTTGTCTGCAGCAGGCTAGTGAGGGGTAGATTGATACTCCAGCTTGCTGCCAACTAAAAGTTAGCCTTAGTCAAGCTGAAGAACTGGTCTACGTGATGTCTACACTAGATCCCTTGCCACAATGCAGGTGCACCAATGAGGTTCCACTGTGCTCCATGCTGCTCTGTGCTGACACGAGAGAGCTTTATGCTGTTACTGGAGCTGGTGTTGTTATATTAAGTGGTGGTAGCAGCTCTCCACACCAACCTAGTGCTGTGCATGCTACCACTTATGCCAACAAAACTGATGTCACTTAGAGGGGTTTTTTTTCCCATCCTTGAGCAACATACATTTTGCTGACAGAGGGGTAGCCCTTTTCCAAATCAGGCCACTTAGGCCATGTCTTCAGTGAGTATCTGTTTACTCCAGTGGGAGCTATTGGGTGGTCAGTACTTTATAAAATAGAGCAACTACATAAATAGCCTAATTTATATTTTTGAAATGCTTGTTTTAAAATGCCAGGCCGGGTAGTGCCTCGGTGTTTGATAGCATGTCTTGAGCAAAACTTGAAGCTTATTTTGAGGTACACCGTGGATGACAAATTATGCTCCAGTATGGGCAAATCCTCAGCTGATATAAATCAGATTTGAATAGAGCTACACTGATCTACAGTAGCTGTCAATCAGACTGTACTGTTCAACTTACATTTTATTAATTCACCAGGGTACAACATGCCATCCACAAATGGCTAATCTATCTGGTCCCCATAACCAATACACATAGTGTCAAATTCTGAGTCTCTCCCCAAATGATGAACAGTGTATTTGAAATTGCACATTTCTACAGGGGTATATCTAAACTACATGGCTCCATCGAAGGAGCCATGTAGATTAGGCTGATAGGCAAAGAGAAATGAAGCCACGATTTAAATAATCGTGGCTTCATTTAAATTTAAATGGCTGCCGCGCTGAGCCGACAAACAGCTGATATGAAAGCCCTTTATCGACCTCCCCGTTATGCCTCGTAGGATGAGGTTTACCGGGGAGGTCGATGAAAGCTGTTTATGTCGGCAGGGGAACGTCCAGACTGCCCCGATCTGCCAACAAACAGCTGATCGGCAAAGTGGGGCAGCCATTTAAATTTAAATGAAGCCGCGATTACTTAAATCGCGACTTCATTTCCCTTTGCCAAACAAACAAATCTATAGAGCCATGTAGTCTAGACGTACCCCAGTAGAAAACTATTCCTACTTCACCACCAGGATTTGTGGACACATGATCAATTGCTAGTGGAATTAATTGCATCTGCCAATAATGCAAGTGTATTTTCAGAGACCCTTTGAAAATGTAGTTCCTAATATCAGCACATAAAACATGTGCATCTACTTCTTTAGAAAAAATTCCCTGCATTGCACAGTGATGTTCTGTTTTTTTTAACTCCCTCATTGTAAATCTCCTCTTCCAATGTTTATTTCCTAAAACTTTACTCACCACTCCTATATATTGATTATATAAATTCAACCTTTAATACTTCCTTTTCCAGATTACTCTTATGCTGTGCAGAAATTCTCTCAGACGCTACAGTCCTTTCAGTTTGACTTTATTGGGGACACACTAACAGATGATGAGATCAATATTGGTAAGTTCTTTTCCTTTCAGTACATATTTGCAGCTACTTAGAAAAAATTATCTTCGTTTTACTGTCAGACTGCATAGCTGAGTCCAGCATTGACTACTGTATTCTTGTCCTTACACAGAACCAGGAGTTGTATTTCCAAGATGCAATTCGGTTCATAGTACACGGGTCTGTTATAGTTGCAGTCACACATGAAGCTTATAACACATTTAATAAATCTTCAAGTCTTAATGTTTAGAGTCTGATTCACAGCACTGTAGGTTGATTTTTACAGCTTTAATCCTCCTCCTTATTGCCAGAGATTGGAAATGACTTGCAGTAATCCAGCAGGGAGGCTCTCCATTGCAGTGAGGACCCTGTAGGTGTATGAATATGCTGAGGCTCTATTTTGGGATACTTCTGCTATTCTGTGTCTTGACAGCATGCCCATTATTTCGAAATATCCTCTTTCGAAATAACAGGTGCGCTATTCTGACGTCCCTGTAAACCTTGTTCCAGTGCCAAATTACTAAATAAGTTATTTTGAAATTAATTAGAAATAAGCGACGCAATTTGCGTAGCTCATGTCGAGCTAAGGGTGCAGGTTAGACACACTCTCGGTCCTCTTCAATGTGTTATGGCACGTGGTCTTAGAACAAGCCTATACTATAGGGGAAGGTTGGCTTAAGGTACGCAATTTCGGCTACATAAAAAACATAGCTGGAGTTGACATACCTTAAACTGAGCTTCAGTGCCATCCTCCCAGTGGGCGGTCGATGGGAGAAACACTTCTGTCAACTTCCCTTACTACTTTCATGGTGTAAGAATGCCAGCATCAACAGTGGCACCCTCAGCTTTCGATCTAGTGGGTGTTTACTAGACTAGCTAAATTGAACGCTGGAATATCGACCGCCTCAGTGTCAATCTTCCTACAAGTGAAGACGTGGCCTTACTCCCACTCTTTATCAGGGCCAGATAGTGGGCTTCAGAGCACTTGGCTGTGTGTTCTGAACCAGGCAATCCAAATTTGCTATGGTTTAAAATACTGTATGTAATCCCCATGGTGAGCTCTAGGGAAGAAAATTAACATGCACTATTACATTGAAAAAGATGCTCAATGGTGTCCCTGAAGCTGCAGCTTTGTTGTTAATGACCAGCAGCATGCAGAGCTTCGCTGATCTCAACTCCTCTATTTCTCGCTCGGTTTCTATGTATTTTATTTTCCTGCCAAGCCAGTGAATTTATTGTCACTTATTCTGCTTGCTACATCTAGGGAGTTCAAAGTAATGGACTAAACTTCCTAAAAAAGGCATTTTTAGAACTAATCCAAGGGCAGATTAACCATCATTGTTGCACTAGCAATTTTGAGGTCTGGGAACTGTTGTTGTGGTGAAAACAATACCCGAGGGCTCCTAAAATGTGCAGGGATTCCTTAGCTGTGCAGGAAAACTCAGCAGACTATAGGAAATAGGATAGTGCTGCCTATGAAAGTTCTCTTGGATGACTCATGCACAATTTCTGATCCCAGAGCCTGATCCTCGAAAATACTGAGAACCTCCACTCCCACTGGTGTCTTGGAAGTTGAAGGTGTTCAGCACGTGCAGGACTGGGTGCATAGAGAGGACAATAGCTAGCCTATTAATACAGATTCACATTATTGTTTAACTGTGCCCAGAAGTGTGACAGTGTTAGTGTTGATAGGGACTCAATGAACCAGCATGGGGAGAGGAGGAGGGAGAGAGGAAGGGAAGGAAGGACAGATAGAAAGGCTGGCTTTTTATAAGTACTTTGGAGCGATTGTGCTTTGCCCTTCTGGATCTGATTTCTCTCAGCATAAAGATTCTAGGTGAAATCTGCTGAGAGAGTCAGAATCCGACTATAATGGAAAAAGAGGTATTGAATTTCCAAGCTCATGTGATGCTGGATAATGGAGAGGAAAACTGCATATAAATCAGTCCTACTGGGAATGGAAAGATCTGAGGCAAAGAGCAATCCAAGAAGCAAGTGTCTCTTTCCTGTTAATCCAAAAGACATTTCCAGCTCTTTAGCCCAGTCTGAATGTGTAGCCTGTCTGCCCACCACTCTGGAGCGGTTATGGGGGGGAGAAAACAGAGCCTCTTCATCAGTTAGTTTGGGGAGGTTTGTACTGCTGCTGCAACTGCTCAGTGCAGCACCTGTTCTGTGGATAAGGAGAGCTTCAGTCTCCGGAGTTGTAAGGCTGGCATCTTTCCCCAGCACTAGGTGCCCTGTGACAGTAAAATATTTATTCTGGGTTGTTTGGAGGACGAGGACTATCAAGAATTACATACTCTGTATAAGATGTTTGCAAAGAGATTGAAGAAAGAAGAGAATGTGGTCGGATCTTGGGCCATGCAAATTTAAACAATACCAAATAGTTTTTCAGTTGTGAACCAAGAAAGATATCTTTTACAAAGATCTTCATGCTGAGCAATCAGCATGGTTGGTATTTCTTTTTTCCACACCAGTTCCTTCAGTCACTCCCTGACTTGAGACAAATTTTCAGGCCTTCTTCACATGCCACAAAGCAGCAAAAAGGGCACACATCTGATTTTTAAAAAATTTGCAGGTGGCCTTCAAACAGTTCAAGTGGTCCTATTCTTCCTGACATTAAGTAAATTATATGGGTAACTCCAGTTATTGCCTTGGGAAATGTAGTATAAATCCTCCCTGTGCAGCAATGGAAGAACAACTCCTTGAGGATTTTAGATGCTCGTGTTGTGCCCACAACTTTAGGCATCTATGGAATTTTTCTGCAGCGATGACAACTCCCACCCTGGCCCTAGTGCCCATTTTCCCTGAACCTAACCCCTTGAAACCTAAAGATACTTCAGAGTTTATATAGCTAATACCGACCATGTCGAACATTAGAAGGGCTCAGCTCCTAGGCTAGTAGTATATGATGGCTAGGTGTTTAGGAATTTAAAGGTGTCTCTTTTGGGGGAGAACTTGGAATCACTGGGTTATAATGAGAAGGTGCTGTTTTGGTGACAACAGTGGAATTAGTACATCACAAGTTGGTGGTTTTTCTTTTTCTACCTGTCTCAGCAATTGTACACAAATCCAGCCTCAATACCTAACCACCACTGATTTGCTGTGCAGCTGTTGCTACAGCTAGTTTTTTAACAAAAGAATTCACAAGCTTCTTGAGCTACTACTAAGATCCCTATATCTTTCTGAATAGGGTGTAGAGCATTTAGCCTGCAGCTAGAGCAGGGACTGGATTTTGCAGACATTCTGCAAGACAAGATATTAGTGTGCAAGTTGCCCTATATGCACGGATGCTTCCCTTCTTCATTATTTGGCACATTGCTAAAGGTGTTCTAAATCAGTGTTAACACAGTCCAGTTTTTAGAACTATTTTCTCTGATACTCTTCCTTCTAAGAGCTCTGACTTTTTTTCTAATAATTTCTTTAATGGATTAATTTTGCAATTGGCTCAGCTAGGGTTAGTTGGCTACATATATACTCTTCTGAAATTAAAGGGCTTGGACTGTAAACAAACCTGGGGTCCTCTCCACAGGGCTCTGTGAAGTACTCCATGCCCATCATGGTGTGCTTGACCATTTCCTGTGGGTGATAAGGCAAGATTTTTCACACATCCTCCACTTGCTTGTTCTAGCACTCGAGGCAAAGGAATCCAGCTGAAGGACATGTAGCGCCCCCTCTCCACCTGGTTACCTTCTTTAATGCCAATCTGCTTACAGGTTTTGATGGATAGGTCTGGTTTCTTCTGGATCCCGCCACCCACTCAACTTTATTTTTTCCGATGGATTTATTTGGCGGTGCCTCCGCCCCCCTCACTCCTTCCTGGCAGGGCCATCAGGGCAGCTTGGGAGGAAAATTCTAGCCCAGGGGAATCCCCACTCACTTGCCAGATAGTTGGAGACTCCCAGAAAATAACACAAACACATACACTATATTAAACAGGAGACAAATATAACAGAACAGGGTAAAACACTGTTTTTAGGGTCACCGGTGCCCAGCAACTGTAAGATTAGTGTCCCATTGGTACGCGTACTTTGTTGTGGCCCTTGATGACTTATGACCACAAATTTCTTCTCTGCAGAGGTTTAGCAGTGAGTGTGACTGGGTCCAGTACAGCCCAAAGGACTCAAGTGGTAAATCCCTTTATAGGTTTAAGATGCAGCAGGTTATAAAATCATCAAACAAATTCCCTGACTTACTAACTAAAAGATGGTGCACTCACACACTCCATGAATGAGGCTCAGGTTCAGAGATGACTCTTCTGGCAGGGATCCTCTTCAGGCAGGAATCAGGCTACTTCGGTCCCAGGATTTCCCCTCCCCACAAAGGGGTGCAAGGCTCAAGGTGCAGGCCACACAACTGCACTAAAATTCAAACTGTAATCTCCTACCCCAGCATTCAGACACACACACACACAGCAGGCAGCAGCCCTGAACCAGCAGACAGAGCAGAGCTGACCCACGGTGACTGGTCTCACCCAGATAGCTGGAGAGCCAACTCAGCCTGGCTGGGGAAGCCTCCCAGCAAACTCCATAAACTGGGAATCAACAGTGGAGAAATAAAACCCAGCTGAGGGATCCTGCCTTCAGGTCCCTAGAGGCTAGTTCTCAGGGGGAACCCTGCATGCAGGCCTGAGGCTTACCAGCTCCCACATAGCCAGTCCTCCCCTTGTCCTGGCTAGCTCCAGACTCCCCCAACAATGGCTCCTCCTTCCCCCCCTCACCTCTCTGGGAGGGGCCTCTCACTCCCCATGGGGTGCGCTCTGGGGAGCCAAGACAAACTCAGAGTGCCTCTCCCTGAGCTGCCAGCAGACAGAGCCCTAGGAATCTAGGTAATATCTTTGGGGGTTACAGACAAATAAGACCAAACCCAGAGGATTTCAAGGCACTGGCACATAGTGCTGATTCCTTTACTTTTGTTGCCATCATAACCTTCCCCAGTAACCCGGCTTGCTCTTTAGCTTGCCACCTGTGATGCTTCCAGAAGAGTCAGGTTTTTCTTGGGGAGAAGACATGGAGCAGAAGTTCCAAAGTAATTTATACTAGCAATTGCAGTAGTTTAGGAAGGAAACTTAGCACCTTTGGCAGCTGATCTCCAACTCCAACCTCCCCACTGGCTGTATGCCCCTCTCCCAAATCTCATGGGCCCTGATTGTGCAGTTATACTGTGTGGTGGAGGGTGGGGAGAATTATCTTGCGTAGGCGTAGGAATTGTTGGAGTGGAGCATGCCTGCCTTCTATCTGTCATTCCCCTTAACAGTAGAAATGGACATTTCAACTTTTCTCTTAACTTTTCCCATCCCTTTCCCATCCGTTGCATATAATGGAAAGGGGGTAGGAAAAGTGGGAGAATATTTGTACTGTTGAGGGGAGTGGCATAGAGCAGATAAGCATGCTCCACTGACTTTGCTTGGTTCCATATGTTCAGCTGCACTGGGCATGAAATATTTCTGCTTGATTTTCCTGTTCACTCTTTAGTTTCCTTGTTATTCTATAATTAACCAAATCAAACCTGCAGCAGCAGTTTTTCCAGTTCCTCTAAGACAAAGCTAATACATGCTGATTGCTTCTGTTATGTCACCTTAGTGACTTCTCACTTCTTACACTGTGTCTTTGCCTCCAGAATGTGGATGTTAAAATGATGAGATCTGTCTGTAATATGAGGGCGTGGCTTTGTTAGCATTAGCCATAAGAAATTATTATTAATATCACCTTCTTTTCCTCAAGGACCAGGATTGGGGAGAAGTGGGGGAGAGTGTTCTTACTTAGATTTTCTTTCCTTTTGGTCAAATAAACAAAGTTCCATAAAGGACAAATCTCCATGTTGTTCCTGCCATAATAGACCAGAGTCTGACAACAGGGAGCTGTATCCTGTCAAAGGACATCACTTGTTAACCTCTTCTGGTGATCCATGTAGCAGCATTTATGTCAGTTGTGATCACATACTCTCTACCATGAATGATTAAACAGTTGGTCAATGCAGAGGGAATGGGTGGAGAGCCTTCAAAATGACAAAGATGCTGTGGAAGATTTTTGAGCTGGTTCAAAGGCCTCCATTGATGTGTAAAGCTTTCAAACTGCTACTTAAGCCTAAGAGGTAAATTTGGGGCATCGCTTTAGTGTATACAGTGAGTGAGAGAGAAGAAAAGCCTGTATTATATAGGATCTGGAAATAGCCAGCCTAGATGGGGTGTCAACCAATAAACCCCAGACATTTGTCTGGCTCTGCTTGGAGTGTTGTACTTAATTTGGCAAACAAGAACCTAAAATTCAAAACTAATTTGACCAGGATCTGCACTAATTAATTGTTTCTTTTTTCTTTCTTTCTCATTATAGCTGAATCTTTTAAGGAATTTGCAGAGTTGCTCCAGGAGGTAGAACTTGAGAGATCAATGATGGTAAGGGGACCTACCCCACACACCTGCTGTGGGCTGGAACTCACAAAGTTGCTCATAACAAACACCTGGCTTCATTGAAATTCTCTGTTTAATGTCAAAACTTGATTTTGTTAACAAATCCTTCCTCAGCCCCTATAGTATGACAGTGACTGTACCTATTTGTACCTTAGGCATAAGTGTACTACACAAAAGAATGGACATTACTGTTAGAAATCAGTGGCCAGGTAGGACAGTATTGTCATGTTGCACATTGGGGCCATGCAGAAATTCAGAGTAATAATGGGAAATAGAACTTTGTATCATCCTGTTCCAGAAAAGCACTGGCCCTCATGCTTGAGCTCAAGGGATCACTTTCAGCTGTTTGAAATATAGGGTCTATGATACAGCTGCTGTTTTACAACATTTTATATATTCGCGCACACAAGCTCGTTCATTACATAATATAGGCGGCCCCCTGCTTGAGACGCGATCGGTTGCTGGGGAAGCGTTGCAAGTTGGGGGTGTCGTAACTCGAACCCACATTTACAATAGACATTCTACACCATCATAAATGCGGGCCAAGGACGTAAGTTGGGTTTTTTTGGCCCCTTCCGCATTTACAAAAATGATTGTATGGGGGGGGGTCGCAGCATGGGCGTTTGCAAGTGTGACTAAACTGTCATCAAACAACTAGACACGTGAAGAACATACGATGGGGTGGGGAAGGGGCTGGATCCAGCCCACCAAGCCGCTGGATCCAGCCCATGGCAGCCTCGCTGGCACACTTAATAGCCAGCAACTACAGCCGCTTTAAACAGAAGACTGCTAATTGCTATGCAGTCTGGGAAGTGAGGAGAAAGCTTTGCGTGCCTGTTCCCACCCTCCCTAGCAAAATCCCCCAGCACCCTTTGGCCAATTTCTGGCCAATAGGAGATGAGAAATTTTGCTGAAATTTTTCACACTCTGCTTGGTGGCATAGAAGGTTGTAAAATATGAAGTAACGTGCATTTCTGTTTTTTCATAAGGGAGTAGTTGTCCTCCTGTCTCCTGACATGATGCTCCAGCAGGGTGATTCACTCCCTTCTGTCTCTCATCACATCAGGGGTGGCCCATCCATATAGGTGAACTAGGCGGTCGCCTAGGGCACCAAGTTAAATGGGGCGCCAAATTCAAGTGCAATATCATTGAGGGGTTTGGAGGTGGGGGCGCCGATTGCATGGTTCACTTAGAGCGCCAGTTGCTGGCAGCTAGGCTAGGGCCACCCCTGCATCACATTATATGCCTTTGTCTCTAGAACTTGTTGATGATTTATTGACAGTTGGCTCCCTAAGTCACACTTATTCCAGGAAAAACATGAATGTTAGAATCAGTGGAAGCCTTTCACATTATGCCAGGAATTCACCATTTGGCTCTGCGCCTCGTGCCCCAATACAGTAATGAAAGAACTCCTCCCCGGCCATCTGGCTGAACTAGAGGGTTAGGGACAGCCATACCTCAAGGGGTGCCAAGACTCTGCTTTCTGTGGCCTTATAGGTTGGCAGGGTCTGAGTAATGATGATAAAGAACTAGCAATAGACTGAAAGAAGACAATAAGAATTTTGTGTATTTCAACGAAGGAATAGCAGCCAGGTGCCATAGGATTACTCATTATCTTTATCTTATGTGGAGGGATGGAATCCTGAGACTTGCCAAAACTGCATCAGCTGGAGAGTTTTCAGATTTACAGATGCCATTTGAAAAGTTTTCTTGATCTTTTTCAGTCCTTGATGCATTATTTATCAAGACCAGTTTTTACAATATCCCATTCATTTAAAAAAAAATCTATAATCTGTATAGGTCACTGTCCTCTCATACTGTATTCTGTGTGCAGTTACCAATTAACTGATGCCTCGGCAAAGCTTTAACAGTTCTGTGAGCCTCACCCTCCCTTCCCCACCTTAGCCAAGCAACAGAATTACTCCTTAGTGGATAGGGTTGAATTGGGGACAGTGACACTTGGTAGAATATAATTTCCCATCTAGGACTGCAAGAAAACAGTCACAGAATGTGCACGAAGAGGATATTCTTTCATGAAAATAATGAGTCATAACGTTTTAGAGCAGCTTATGTTAATCATAATGCCTTTGTCCCGAAGAAATCTGTGACAAGACTTTGGGATTAGCTTTGCTGAATGGACAACTACTTTCATGCTCCTTTGGACAGTGCCTCATCAAAAGGAATGTCCCTAATATTATTTGAGAGCCACATATAAAATCTGTTCTTCTCTCTACATTTGTTTATTGTAGTCAGAAATGCTGGTTCTGAAAACTGAGTTTTTTGGAAAGTGTCATGTCATGCATATGACACAAACTTTTTGCTCTTCCTTCTGCCCTTTCAACATGCTATTTTGGTTAATGCTGTGGCCATGGGGAACAATTATCACCTACGTGGGCCTTCCTGGGATGAGATCTAGGACACAAATTACTATGGGTGACTCGGTTTGAAAAATGGATCATTTCAGGTCTGATGCAGTCACTCCCTAGGAATGTCATCTTTCCTGTTTGCTTAGAAATATTGGCAATGGAACATTTTTTTTGGCTCTGGAATCATATTAATCTGTTCAGATGTCCATCATATTCAGGAATCATCATTTAATGCTTCCATTGCAAAAAGGATAGATGCTATAATGCTCCAACAGGGCTGGAGCAACAATGGAGTGGTGTTGTAGTAAGGATGACACAGGTTGCGAACTGTCCAAGAACAGATACCAGGGAGAAGCTGGCACAGAGGGATGTGCTTCTTCTACCTTGATTCTCCCTGCTAGATTGGAATTATATAATTATATTGATTCCTGCCCAAAGATTGACCCAACCTGTTCTGACTCTGCAAACACCAGCATGGATGATTCATGCACCATATAATCTGCTTCCTGCTTTTGGTATTTTCTTTCTCCCTGAGAAAAGTAAACAAACAGCCTTGCCTTCTTCAGAATGCTTCTAATTTGTATTTGCAGAACAGTAGGCATTGCTGTCAGCACAACCTGTGTGGAGGTATGGTCATCAGCTAGTCCATATGCTAGAGGACATGTCATTATTTTTTGAGGTCCCCCATAATTCTTCAAAAATCCTAAATTATGGTTATCAGATAGCAAGTGTGAAAATGGGGACACTTTTTTTTTTCTGGAGTGGTGGGGCTATAGTTGTGTGTATAAGACACAACCCCTAATATTGGAATGGTCCCAATAATATCGGGACATCTGGACATCCTGTCCTGCTTTGTGGGGATTCTCTTTCCAGCTAAGGAGCTTGGGTGTCTAGCAAAGCAGTGATCAAAGAGGCATTGTTTAGGAAAAACAAAGAATCATTGACGTGAAGGACTGGGAGGGAATATGAAAAGTCATCAAGTCCAGCCCTCTGTCACTGAGGCAGGACCAGGTAAACGTAGAGCATCCTTGACAGGTGTTTGTCCAACCTGTTCTTAAAAACCTCCAGTGCTGGGGATTGTACAACCTCTTTTGTAAATGTATTCCAGAAGTGAACTATCCATATAATTCTTTTTTTCCCCCAATATCTAACTTTAAACCTACTATTTGAGTACAGTCTTTCAACCAGTTGTGGACCCACCCTATAGTAATTTCCTTATAACAATGTAATGTGGGACTGTGTCAAAACCCTTACTAAAATCAAGATGGAACATGTCTTTCTCCTGATTTACTAGGAGAAATAGCCCAGTCAAAGTAGGCAATTAGGCTGGTTTGGCATAATTTTGTTCTTGATAAATTCATGTTAGATATTATTTGCTATTCTATTATCCTCCAAGTTATTTCAAATTCATTGTTTAATAATATGTTCCAGTTTCTTTCCAGGAATTGGTATTAGGCTGACCAGTCTGTAGACCCCCAAGTCCTTTCTTCCCCTTTTTAAAGACTGCGTTCTCCCTTCTATAGACTAAGTGCCAACTCCAGAGTGTGAATGATAGTAGTTGAGCACCATTTCAGATCCTATTTTTATTATAGGTAGTTGCAGAGTTGTCTGGTACTTGTTCTAGAAAGGTCCAGAAGATATGCTGGGACAAACCTTCCCTCGTATTAAACATGATGTATTCCTGATTGCAGCAATAGAACAATTATAACAAAGGTCCCTGGATCAAAGATCCAATATTACTTCCCAGTCTTCTTCCTTCTGGAAATCTGCCCTTTGATTCCTGTAATCCGATAGGAAGTGCCACACTAGAAATGATTATAAATTTACCCTGGAGGGTGGTAATAGGTAGCTTAAGGCATAGTGCTAACTCGCCCTCCTGTGGTATTAGTGGAGATCTAGAGCCTTGGGAAGTCAAATATAATACTGAATATTCTACTATTGTCATAGTGCTTCTTCTCAGCTCCATGAGATATGTGTCCACACGGAGGGGAAAGAAGACACAGGTGTAAATGACTTGGTCTAAGGACATTCAGCAAGTAGATAGAACTATGATTAGAATTCAGGCATTTGTCTGCCCACTTATCTTCATCTCCCTTTGGTGTAACACAGATATGTGCCTTGCAACAAAGCTGTTGTTTCTTTCTTTGTTCTGCAGGTTCAAAATGCTAGTGATTTGCTGGTCAAACCACTGGAAAATTTTCGTAAGGAACAAATAGGCTTCACTAAGGTAGGTTTTATACATGTGTTTATGCATTGGTTGTTTTTTTCTTAAAGTAGGATGGCACCGGAGATATTAAAAGCAGAGATTTCATGCTTAGTGTTCATAGACAGAGATTTTGTGCTTCTGTTCAAGTCCAGTACGAGTATTAAAGACATTTTTCCTCGTCAGTGCAGGCATGCCAGAATGAGGAAATCCACCTGGGCTTTAGTCTGACTTCCTATCATGAGCAGGACCAAGACTGCTTCCTCAACTCCTGGGGCTCAACCCAGGCTTAATCCCAATCTTCCTGAGAAAGCAACAACCTCTTTCACCAGAGATCATGAACATCCTCTTTTGGCTCACTACTCAATATCCTTCTTATTTGCAAGGTCGATTTCAGACCCTATTTTATTCTAAATTCAGTTTAGAATAAAATAACTCTCTCTTCTCTTCCCCCCCCCCCCCCCAAATATATCAATGATAAAAAAAAATGCAGGGCCCTGTAATCAGGACTTGAATATGGCCATAGGGTTCAGAAATATTCAAATAAGGTGTCTCATGTCTCTTTAATATAGACCAAAGCAACATTTCATGAAAAGGGCGTCTAGCACATGTGGGGCAGAAAAGATTATTTCTTCCTTGTCTACCATCAGGCTCTCAGGGTTCCACATTATTCAGTGGCAATTTGAAATGAAGCTGATTCTGAACCAGCTTCAAAATGGAGTCATTTTGGAGAATGCTTAGAGCTTGGATTCACCCAACTCATCTGGAGCCTTTGTCGTTTAATAAATAACTAGAAAATTTGCCCAGTGTTGCTTTCAGTCCTTAACTCAATTAATTTTTAAAAAATAGTGAAAATGTACACACTTTATTTAAATTTTTGCTCTGGGGTGTGGCTGGGAACGAGGGGTTTAGTATGCAGACTTCCTTGGAGGGAAAGGGCTATCACAGCAGCTTGGGGCCAGGTGAGAAATGCCTCTCCATGGCCACTGCAGCTCCAGTAGGCACAGCTGGGGTAGGGGTGCATATCCGTCAGCTGGGGCAGGTCCAGGTTTCTCTGCCTCTGAACTTGTAAGTCAGAATGAGGAATGCAGCAGACTGCTACTGTGTACTGTTCCACAGAAGCCACAAGAAATGTTAGTAGGATTGGCGCACAGTTTGTCAGGCATACTTTTTCAGTGTTCTGATGTGCTCCTGCCCAGCTGTTGTATTTGCTGGTATCAGTACTTGGCATGTAGTTCTGAAATGATTATTTTAAAAAAAGCGGAAGAAAGATTTTTCTTGTTCTGATTTGCCTCAGTTTGAGATCTAAGGAAAATTTTGGGGAACCAAGTGGGGGGGAAAAAACTCAAATATGCTAGACTGTTTGTTTTTTACAGAAATGCTCACACTGCATCTTTCCACTGCAAGGACATTTTTATATTTAACACAAGTTTTATCCTAAGCAACTCCTGACATGCCATAAAAATCATTGTAAGCACAGCCATTACACTTTTTTTTCTGCATCAGAGTTTTATTGTTGTTTTCTTTGATTCCTCTCCTCGCAACCTTTTTGTTAACATGAAAATGAGACACAACATTAGTAGCAAGTGCTAGAGCAGAGTATATCATTTGCAAATAATTCATCTGGTGAATTTAGTGTCTGTCCTGCTATCAGATTATCTGCTAATGGACTGTGATTTCCTCACATTGATTCATTGTCTGAATTTATTCAGCATATCTTTATTCTTAATTGATCCTAGAAAATCAATGTATGTATTTGATACATAACATCTTGAGTTGTGTTATCAAGCTAAGTTTAACAAGATAGTGATCAAAACCAGCAGTTTTCCTGACGTCATCTTGTGCTGTGTCTCGCCCCTGTCGACAAATGCTAGCACGGAATAGGGCTTCTGGCCTCATCCCAACCTGGCTGGCTGCACAGCCTTTGTCCATCAGTGCTGTGGAGTGTGCTAGCCTCTCATTCACAGCACAGAGTGCTGGCATTCTGTTGGGTCCCATGCAAGTATGTTAGGAAGATGATCTCGGCCGATAAACTAGATTTTGTTCATAGTGAGTTGAAATAATCATAACGGCTAGATTCTTCACACAACAATCCCCCCAGTTTCCTGCTGGATGGCAGTTTAAGAGGCTCCTAATTAGCACTGAAATAATTAAGGGAAAGTTTTCCAAGTCAAGCTTTCTCTCCCCCTGCCTTCCCCTGACTGCTCTATTCCTTAACTCAAACTTGGATCTGAGCCAGTTTCCAGGAGACACAGGCCGTTGTTCCACAATTTATCAGCAACAGATGATGTGTGAGAGAATGCCATACAAATTGTAAAACTGTAACCTTTCCATTGCACTGTTCTCCTTAGCTGCTGTTGGACAGACCGTTAACCCCCAGCATCTCTTGCTACTTCTAGGGCTCTCATCAGTTTCTGATTAAACAGGCATCCTCTGAAACTTCGAGAGCTGGGCTTTCAAAGTGCTTTCGAAGAGCTGTTTCCTTTGTTAACTTGTATGGTGACTGTGCTACTCTGTCTTGCATTCGGTTACAATAAGTAGTTTCTGTTGGTAAGTGAGTACATGGAAGTTGTGTGGTTCTTGGACCCGAATATTGGCACACATTAATGGGAAGGTAATGCTGCCCCTCACTGAATATTTAGAGCAACTAATTAGTTCTTGTGTTTGCAGATTGGACTTCAATCATTTTTCTTGGCTGCTGAATGGAGTGAGCAGACAATCTCCTGGAAGGACAAATGAAGGAGGGTTTTTTAATGTGCCCTCCTGGTTTTTAATTCCACGTTAAGTAGCCTGAGTGCAAAATGATTGGCATCCTCTCTCATTAGTTGCCAAAAATTCTGTTTTGTGTTGTTCACGTTTCCCCTTGTTGGCAATTACTCGCTGTGAGAGGTCTTAACTCATTTTGTGTGTGAGCTCAATCTCCCATCCATTTCACATGGATGGAGACTATTGAGTAAATGGTCAGACTCATTCCAAGGGTGTGGAGCAGAGAGTATTTGTTGTTTTTAACAAGTGACACTTGCCAGCATAGATAGGCATGAATATTCCAGGAACTGCCTCTAGAGCATAGCACTCAAGCTGGAATCAACAGGTTGAATTGATTATTTTTATTACTTCTTAGGAATAGGGCAGAGGTTCTCTAGAACAAAAAAGAGTATGACAGATATTTCATACTATTGTTTGCACATTTCCAGTATTGCATAGTGTTTTTGGAGAAAAGTATTTGCCAAATTGTTTTAAAAATTGTATGGGGACTGTAAGTTTGTACGTGACTTCAATTTGTACTGTACATGTACCAAAGTATCTTTGCCAATTCCTAATGCCTGATAGAGTAAATAGAAGGGAAGGCTGGAAGCTGTAGTGGTTCAACAGTAATCCAACAGTAGCGGTTCAACAGTAATCCAACTGCCATGTGGTTTTATTTTAAAATACTTCTATGAAAATTAATGCAAAAAGTTTAGCACATTTTTGTGGATTATTGTTTTTAAAATAAAATACACTTAGGCTCCTGGCTTTATTGGTCTGGTGCCTGAGGTATGAGCAAATGGCATGGGAGTGTGTTTATTTAAATAAGAATTGAGATAAATATACCTATTGTCTGTGTGGTTTTAGATTGTGTTTTAGCAGCAGAATTTGGCTTTTGTTTTGCCAATACTTCGTGCCAGTTCTTCAGCAGAAGTGCTTTTCTATTCAGAGCTCACTGTTACCAGTTCTTCCTCTTTCTCTCATTCTCTGGACTTGATGACTGAGCTTTTCTTTATTCTGAGGCATGAATTTGCTGACTCTGAATTATTATGCTCTGACCTTGCAACTGGTGATATTTGGAAATATAGAGGTATTTTGGCTTCTGTGGCTCCCTGTGCTTCTGTGACTGTACACCTAAATACCTTTGCAGACCCCATAGTGAAGTGGAACCAGACAAGCTCAAATATTGCAACAGCTGAGGGCTCTGCAAGATTCTTTTCATTTTCTCATAGTTATTGTGTTTACACCACTAATGGAAGGCCGAAAGAGGCGGGCGGGGGGGGGGGGGGCGGACATTGTAATGGCCCAGAAGTATTTTTCTTAATTCTCAGAAACTTCTCAATTTGCTCTCTGTGGCACAAATTTAAATATTCACTGTCTTTTATAGTAGGAGGCAGAGTAGCTGTGTTTAATATTTTTAACTGTTGCTTGATTGAGGTGGACATTCAGGTTGGTAGCAGACTGTAGTTGTGTGGGCTGTCTCGCCTCAGGAATGTAGCAGTTTGCAAGTGATCAAATAAACAATTTGAGTTCTGTGTGCGTGGGTGTCTAACAAAACATGACCTTTCTTTTCAGTCCAATAATTGTCCTCATAAACATCTTCTCTTCAGGATTTATCATCTTTTGATGGTTTAGATCAAATGATGTCCTGTTAACAGATTTACAGCTTGTGGAAGTAGAATGGGGAGGGGAAACGTCACAAAGCAAGAGACTCCCTAAAGGAGAGGAGGAAAAGATTTTCAAAATAAGCTTCTAAAGGTGTTGGCCAAGCAAACATACTGGTTGTATAAATTTTCCCTTTTCTCAAGCTTGGTCTAGTGTAACATGTTCTGTTAAATATCAGAGAGGTAGCCGTGTTAGTCTGGATCTGCAAAAGCAACAAGAAGTCGTGTGGCACCTTAGGATACGTCTACACTGCATACCTACTTTGGACTAGGGATGCCAATGGAGACGACCGAAGTAGTTAATGAAGAAGGGATTAAAATATCCCGTGCTTCATTAACATGATCTCGCCGGTGCACTAGTTCGAATCACAGCTGATTCGAACCAGGAAGTGCACGCCGGGAAGCGTTAATTTGGACTAAAGCCTCAGAGTAACATTAGTTCGGACTAAGGGCTTTAGTCCGAACTAACGCGTCCCGGTGCGCACTTCCTGGTTCGAATCAGCTGTGATTCGAACTAGTGCACCGGCGAGATCATGTTAATGAAGCACGGGATATTTTAATCCCTTCTTCATTAACTACTTCGGTCGTCTCCATTGGCATCCCTAGTCCAAAGTAGGTATGCAGTGTAGACGTATCCTAAGGTGCCACACGACTTCTTGTTGCTTTTGCAGATCCAGACTAACACGGCTACCTCTCTGATATTTAACAGAACATGTTACACTAGACCAAGCTTGAGAAAAGGGAAAATTTATACAACCAGTATGTTTGCTTGGCCAACACCTTTAGAAGCTTATTTTGAAAATCTTTTCCTCCTCTCCTTTAGGGAGACCTCTGTCTGAGGGGTTGGAGCAGATGCAGTTGTACCTTAGTGCTTGGCTGTAGGCAATGGATCGTGTGGCTTGTCCGGGATGGAAGCTGGAGGCATGAAAGTAGGTGTAGTGGTCATTAGGTTTTCGGTATAGGGGTGTGTTTGTGACCATTACTTATTTGCTCTGTGGTGTCCAGGAAGTGTATTTCTTGTGTAGACTGGTCCAGGCTGAGGTTGATGGAGGGGTGGAAGCTGTTGAAATCGTGGTGGAATTCTTCCAGAGTCTCCTTCCCATGGGTCCAGATGATGAAGATGTCATCAATGTAATGTAGCTAGAGAAAGGGCATTAGTGGACGAGAGCTGAGGAAGCGTTGTTCTAAGTGAGCCATAAAAATGTTGGCATATTGTGGGGCCATGCAGGTGCCCATAGTGGTGCCACTGGTTTGGAGGTATATATTGTCACCGAATCTGAAATAGTTATGTGGATTCAGATTCGGTGACAATATATCACTAGTAGTTTTGCTAAAGTAGTTCGGGCACAGTCACAGTTTCTTTTTCTTTCTTTCTCTCTTTCATTCTTCCTTCCTTCTGTAGCACTCAATAAGCTACACTGATCAATAAGAAGAGATGGGCAATATATATGGAACTCCCAGTAGGATTTTGAGAACCCGTAATGAACTTGTCATTATTTTTGTTGTAGCACTCCTCTGAACCAGTCTACTCAGACTGTGTAACTAACATATTCTATTGAAAGCAAGGCTTGCAATTTCTGATCCCAACAAAGACTGCAAATATACAGTGAAATCAAAGCTGTGTGTTAGCCCTTTCAGAACTTAATTTATTCTTTATTTCAGCTTTGATAAAGTTTAAAATGCAAATACTTGTAAAAAGCTTCAAAACCTGGAAAGCACTGAAATCCTACCAAATCTTTAATTGTCTTGGATGTGTCTTTGGTATTAAAGCATTTGTGTTTGATCTGTAGATGAGTAAAATAGCAGCAAACACTGTATATTTGTTTTACGTCAATAGTAAGTTTCAAGTTCTGTTAAAAGCAAAGCCAAAGAAGATGACAAGTTGGAAAAGCTCGTTGAAAGAAACCTCTCCAGCAGGGCTACCTTATGCTTGCTGATTACAATAGAAAATACTGAATGTTTCTGTATTGTGAATTATTGCCAAAACTGTCACTGTGCGTATTTGAGAGCAGTGATGGCACTGACTAGAAAGAGAAGAAATAGATATGGAAAATATCAGAAGGCCCCCAGCTATGATGGGCCCATCATTATTTTTTCATGGTAACATTCTACTGTTCAATGAATTTTGACACTGTTGCACTGTCAAAGAAACCAAACTAATGCTCACTCTCCGGTTTTGTGTCCACTGTTCAATCTCTAGGAACGGAAGAAAAAGTTTGAGAAGGACGGCGAGAAGTTTTATTCCATGCTGGATCGCCATTTGCATTTATCATCTAAGAAGAAAGAGTCTCAGTTACAGGAGGCAAGTGTGAAATTTTCCTTGAAAGTTTGTTTCCAGGAGTCTAGAAGAAGTAATAGCAGATGCATTGGACTTCTATCTCATACGCGTCTCTTTCTATAATGAGAAACATTAAATCTATGTGACGTCCCTTTTGATAGGAATGGGCTATCGAAACTGAGTTTTTCTCTTCCTCCGTGGAGGAGTCATTTCAGATCAAGGCTGAACCACATTGAAAAGGCATAGTAGAGAAACTGGTGTAATCCATGATTCCATAGATAAGTCTCTGGCCCTCTCTAGTGGCTGGATCACACATAGAGATTTGATTCTGCTGTGGTCCCAGCTAACCAAGTTTGTCCTATAGTTCAAATCAAAGAGAACTAGTGCTTTTAGACTGCAAAGTCCTGGTATCAATCCTCCATAGGTATGTCAAGACAGGGAAGCTCTTACACTTGCATTCTCTCTGCCTGTGCGGTACTGATTCTGTGGTTAGCGAGGGACCTGAAATATGAACCTTTCACAAAAACCAATGCACTTAAAAAAATGTCTCAGTCCTTGAGGTGAGTTCTGAATTCATCTATGTATGTGGGATGCAGTAGGAGAAATTGTAATGGAAAACATGACCAGTGTTGATTTATATATAGTTCCCATAATGAATTCAAAACCTAGAGTAGATTCTTTTGGGGGCTTTGAGAAGTCATAGCTTTCACTTGCAAGGCAGATACACAGACCGCACTAAATAATTATTATTCTTTTATGTGTTTTTCTTTTCCATCCCTTTTTCACACAGGCCGACTTACAGGTTAACAAAGAGAGACACAATTTCTTTGAATCGTCCCTCGAGTATGTGTATCAGATCCAGGCAGTGCAGGAGAGCAAGAAGTTCAGTATTGTGGAGCCAGTAAGAGGCCTTCTTTTTATCTTCACCCTCTAACGTTTATTGACTTGGGCATGTCAACAAGGAGTGGTGGAAAATAGTCAGATTGGATCCTGTCCTACTAACAATTCCACATGGACCCTCATGATGAGGTGAAGTCAAACATAGGGTACATCTACACTTGCTCCCTAGTTCAAACTAGGGCTGCAAATGTAGCCAACTGAAATTGCTAATGAAATGGGGATTTAAATATCCCTCGCTTCATTAGCATGATCTCGCCCGCGCATTATTCCGCTCAACAGCTGATTCGAACCAGGGGGTTTGATTCGAACTAACGCGTCTTGGAGCGCACCGCCTGGTTCGAATCAGCTGTTGAGCGGAATAACGTGCGGGCAAGATTATGCTAATGAAGCTAGGGATATTTAAATCCCTACTTCATTAGCAATTTCAGTTGGCTACATTTGCAGCCCTAGCTTGAACTAGGGAGCAAGTGTAGACATACCCATACAGCATTAGCAATCTCTTGTTTCACTATCTCTGTTGCTGCTTTGTGAATATAAAGAAAGTGGAGTCTTCTTTTACCTCTAAAAGTGAAATATGCTGGAATGAATGCAGGACCTCTTCTGGGTAAATGTACATAAGGAGGGGCTCTCCATAGAGCTGATGGTGTATTCTATCCTAAAGTCATTCATTGTTCTTCCAATGCAATTTTTCATTTCTGGTAGTATTTTACTGTGACAAGCCAGGGACATCCACAGGATTGTAGCTGTCATTTACAGGGGCACAGACTTCTCCTGGCTCTGGGGGGCTGGTGTGGCCAGTAAGCTACATTCCCATCTGCCTCCAGGATTCTGGGAGACTGAAAGTGTGTAACACAACCAATGCCCCTCTTCCCGCAATCCTACTTACAGCATAACTGGGCTGGACTTGTGGATTTGGCCTGTGTCTTATCTCATATGAACATAGTATGATCAGGTGCTACTATGAGCCAAATGTATAGATTGCACTTTTTTAAAAACCACTACCTAAGCAACGCTGAATACTGTCACTGTCAGAGCACTGAATACAGATCCATTCTGCATTGGGTTCCCCACACCCAAAGCTGACAAGAGACTTTACCAGGCCCTAAAGGGAGCTGGTTCTGAACAGGCCTTGGGCATCGGGCAGGGCTAGGGGGCTAGCCTCCTCCAGCCAGCTCTTCAGCACTGCTGGGGGCTGCAGGATGCACGCTGCCAGTGGCTCCAGCAGCCATTTAAAGGACCTGGGCTCCAACTGCTTCTGCAGCTGAGGTAATCATGGCAACAGCCAGGAGCCTTGAGCCCTTTTAAAGAGAGCAACTGCCCTCTTTGCCCCTCCTGTCAGTGCCCCTGCTTTCACCTGATTGTGTATTTTATTTTGCTGTTAATTATCTTTGGTTGTAAAGATCACAACAGGTTTATTGTAATTAAAGCTATCTGTCCACCTTATACCTGATTTCATACAATTGTCTTTAAAGCAAAGGCTGATCCATCATCTTTTTCCTGCACAGGTGTTGGCCTTTCTTCACAGCCTTTTTACATACAACAACCTGACAGTTGAACTCACTCAGGACTTCCTCCCTTATAAACAACAGCTGCAACTCAGCCTTCAGAATGTAAGTTCCTGTCCAGCTGCACTCTCTCTGTCCTGCTTTGTATCTAAATACCTCGGGCATATAAACATTTTCCATGCCAGGTGGACAACCCTTGCTTGTATGCTTGGAGGGATATCGAAAGCCTCTTTCCTTCATAAAAAAGCCTTCTGTCCATAAATTCCTTTCATCCAAGAAAAAGCAGCCTAGAGGTGCTACAACAGCATGGATTTAAGGCCAGAAGTGACTGCTATGATCATGTCCTTTGACCATCTGTGTATCACGGGTCATGGAATTTCTAATTGCTGTATCAAACCCATTGACAGGAGGTTGAGGTAGAGTATGTCTTTTAGAAAGACATCCAGTCCTGATTTTAAAGATTTCATCGGGAGGAGAATAAACCACCTCCCTTGGTAAACTGTTACAATAGTTAATTACATTGTAAAAAGATTTGTACTTGTATGTGGCCAACATTCATAGCCGCAGGAACACAAACTGTAAGGTCGTGCCAAGCCCAGAGTGCTATTAAATCCCTTTGAATCGCTCAGTCTAAATGAGTTAAAAATAATTGATTTTTATTTTATTTTGAGACGTGACATGAGTCAGTATTAACAAACAGTACAAGTGCAAGTGAAAACTTTGCAAACATTCTTAATGTGCATGATTATTCTCAACCTAGGTCTGGAGCCAGTGACCCAAAACCGTGTGTACTTTGTAATGGTAAGGCAAGCAGGAATTTAGATACCTCATCCTTCTGGCCTTAAAAGGTTCTGTTGTGCTCTCTTCAAGTTAAAGAACAAATCATGACACATTGTGTTCCACAGCCACCATGTCACAAGCTCTGTGCGCATGATGTATCAGTCTTGTCAGTCCACTGATTATTATGGGCCAAATTGTCTGCTAGCTTCAGGTACTTTTCATAGTACCACTGATCACTCCCATGAAGGTGGCCATGTGGCTATTATGTGCGGGCTGACAATGCATTTGGGAGTGCCTACTGGAAACTTGGGGGCCAGCTACCAGATTTGTACATATGAAATAGGTACTCTTGTGTGAGTGCTCAAAATCTGAGGCTGCACTCTGAGCCATAAATATTTTATTGTTTCCCTTGCCCATATTCTAGTGACATTCTTTTGCTCTTTCACCAGACGAGGAATCACTTTTCCAGCACGCGAGAGGAGTTGGAAGACCTGAAGAAAAGGATGAAAGAAGCTCCGCTGACCTGCAAGCTACCCGGGCAGCCAACCATAGAGGGCTATCTGTATACTCAGGAGAAATGTAATAGCTTGTGTGTGCAGCTGTATGCATTAAACAAGTGTAGGGTCCATCTGTAGCTTGTACAGCTTGCCCAGTAATGTGTCCTAACTATAAGTTTCATTCATTCAGCTCACAGCCAGGGCTCTGTTTGTATAGCTGTGATAGCTGGGGGGAAAATGGGGCGATGTTTGTATGTGAGTGTCTTAGTTGCTAGGTGTGCTAGTTATTGAGCCAGAAGCAAATGGCTCATTTATCCTGTCAATGTTGTCCCTGCTGCCTTACCGATCTGATTCTGAACCTGAGCTAGCTGTAAGTAAAGAGCAGCGTTAGGCTGACTATTGCAGACACTGTTAAAGATGCCATTTTTGAGGGCTGATTTGTGAGGAGGCCGGAGCTTGGTTCTTTGGCCTGAGGACACATACCAGACCCTGCCCACCCAGCAGCTATGAGAACAAGTATGCCCCCATTCTCACCCTTCTGGGGAAAAAAGGAGGGAACCTATTGAGCAGGCCCAGCTAAGGTGAATCTGGACTCTTGTGGTCATGCCTCAGACTTAAGGGCTAAAATAGGGAGTAGCTCAGGGTATGTCTACACTGCCCCCCTAGTTCGAACTAGGGTGGCTAATGTAGGCATTCGAAGTTGCAAATGAAGCCCGGGACATTTAAATCCCGGGCTTCATTTGCATCTTCGAATGCCTACATTAGCCACCCTAGTTCGAACTAGGGTGGCTAATGTAGGCATTCGAAGTTGCAAATGAAGCCCGGGACATTTAAATCCCGGGCTTCATTTGCATCTTCGAATGCCTACATTAGCCACCCTAGTTCGAACTAGGGTGGCTAATGTAGGCATTCGAAGTTGCAAATGAAGCCCGGGACATTTAAATCCCGGGCTTCATTTGCATCTTCGAATGCCTACATTAGCCACCCTAGTTCGACCTAGGGTGGCAGTGTAGACATACCCTCAGAGTTCCTGAACCAGGAACACAGCAGAACAAGGGGCCAGCTCCTCTCCCCTCCTCCCCCCCTTTTCTGCCCACCTACTCAGTGACCAAGCCATGAGGCTATTTAGCCTTCAGGGACTTGACCGCAAGTTGCTAGACCAGTTGTCTGGGGCAGGTATACAGATGAAAAGGCCTGCGTGCATCTTTTGCCATTGGGGTTGTGAGGAAGAGAATGACCATTTCGTTCCAGATAGCTTCACATACACAAATCAGCTGTTCTTTTATTCAGCCACTGCTGCTTTGGAAACATGGCACTTCTGACACATAGCAGGTCTTGTACTCTGAAAGTCAGAAGAGCTGTTATATATGGCACGTTGCTCAAAGCACATTCCGTTTCTTTGTTCTTATAGAGCTTCATATGCATTGCTATTTATAATGCAGGTGTCAGTGACTCCATTTGTTGTTGATCAGATACTCCCCATCTAGAGCATGTGATCATGTCTTTAGTTGTTAGGATAAAAGCCTATTACTGACCACTTACAGTCGGCAAGGGCTAGTGCTGAAGGGTAGGATTCAAGCCTCTGCTGGTAATCACTGTGTTTATATGTGCATGTACTCGTATAACTAATCTACTGCCACAAATATGGACAACTCTGCAATCTCACCTCAGATTCATACAAGGGAAGCCGTTATGCAGAATATTGGTTGCCAATTCTGTAAATGGTCCATTTGATATATTGATGTAAACAGGGCAAATATTGGCTGCTTAAAAAAGACTATCACATAGTGTTGTGTGTTTAAAAAAAAAAAACTACCCATGCGCACACAGTCATTTTAGACCACAAGTAAATTTTGTACATTCCTGCATGGTAATGAACTATATTTGCTGCCTTTAATTTTGTTTCCTGTGAATTGGTTAAAGAAAAAAAAGTTGTTTGAAATAGTTCAGTTGGTTCCTTTGGTCTTCTGGGGAAAAACTGAGCCACATTAGGAACAAAGTAGTTCAATTCAGACAATGAAAGATAAGTGGAAAATAAATTGTGGTATAACAAATATAGATGTAAGATGATATTTAATGTGCTGTTGTCTTTATTCTGCCAACAAAAAATTGTCAGTAAGGAAAAAACAGTAGTGCCCATTTTAAAACAAACATACAGTCTCCCCTCTGCTCTTCCCTTTCCCTGGGATATTGCCTGTGTACTTCTTGGTATTGCTTTGCCAGTCCTGTTTAGTTTGCCATGTCAGAGTCTCACAAATGCCCTTTCATTAGTTTTTCCTTCTGAGGAGGCTGGTGCTAACTTTTACCCACTGCTTATGTTCCTCCCTCATTATTGCTGCTTCTGTAACTGGTAATGCTGCAAATAGGGTTCCATGTTTTCCTGTGTGTCTGTACAGCACCTCCTACAATGGGGCTCTGATTCTGATTGAGGCTCACAGGCATTACCTCGCTATAAATACTAAACAGTAGTAATGGTAAAGTGTACCACTGTATCAGGCTGAAGGACAGAGTGAGGCACATTACCATTATTATTACTGTTCATTATTTATATCACGATGATGCCTGTGAAACCAATCAGGATCAGAGCCCTGTTGTGCTGGATGCTGGATAATCACACAGGAAAACATGGTTCCTGTTTTGAGGAGTTGGCAGTCAAACTAATGCATACTGTCTATTGATTCTTTACTGTATTTGTGTTATTGTAGGGGCACTAGGCATATCTTGGGTGAAATATTATTGCCAGTATGAGAAGGAGTCAAAGATGCTAAGGATGACTCCCATGGAGCAGAAGCCTGGAGCAAAGCAAGTGAGTGAATTCCCTATAAAAGAGATCTTTGCAAATATTGACAGTCAGGTTCTGCCTCATTTCCTTCTATTCTGACTTGTTTCTTCTATAAGAAGTTATGAGTATAAATATATTTATAGTAGGTACATTCCGTCCCCATGAAGCAATGATGTACACAATCACTGTTCGTTAAAAGTATCGGTAGTTAATTTAAGTGCTGGACAGACACCTCTAGAGACAGAAGGACAGAAGGCCTCTTTGTAGGCACAGAACAGATACACCACACACATGCTTCCTTGAGCACTACTGATGTGTAAGAATTACCCCTGCCAAGGGAAAGTAGTGCAGTTTCCAGCATTCCTCTGATGAGATCACCCACATCCAGTGCCAATGAATTCCAGTGGTGATTCACTTCATAAAGCCATGACATCTGCCCATCATGAAGGGAGCTGATTCTCCAGTCTCAAGCCCTTCTTGCTCATTGCTTACTTTCTTCCACACACCCTATTAATATTCCCTTCTGCATACATTTTCCCTGTCAATCAGTCCTAGAACTTAAGCCACTCTGCTCCTCACCTGTGAATTTGGGTGTGTGCGCGTGCGTGCGTGCGCAGCACGGGCAGGCTTGCACATTTTCTGTGGCAAAACCAGTTATGAACACAACATATTCTCTTTCTGAAGAGATAACCTGACTTGCATCGTTAACTGTGATGACTGTTTACAGGATTTGAATTAGCAAGGTTATTTGAATGGCTCCATAATGGCCTCTTTTTGCTCCCGTGAAGCATGAACATGAACAGCTCATTCACGGTGTTCCAACTCTGGGAGGGAGGGGGGAGGAGTGGGAATGGAGTGCAAATCAGGCGATTCTGGATGCTCCAAAAGTGCTGGGAGGGAGAGGAAGGAGAAGGAAGTGCAAGGCTCCAATGCCCTAGCACGAAAGAGACACATGGGGGAGAGGGGCAGATAAGGAGGCCTCAGGTGGAGCTCCATTGGGGTGCATGCAGCCCATAAGCCATAGGTTGCCCTCCACTGCTTTATATGATGGTAGCACCTGCCAAACCCAATCAGGTGTTGAAGAACAGCTCTGTGTTTGTCTCTCATCAAAAGATGTTGATACAAGGCTTGTCTCTCCAATATCCTGGAACCAACATGACTTCTGCAGCCCTCTTCTAAGAGTGTTTGTTTTAAGCAATCTTTCTGCTCCAAGGCTTATTGAAGGAATAGCTGCTAGGATTTATAGCATCGATTCACAATGTAATGCCATTAACTCCATAATTAATTTATATTGTATGAAGGAAGCCTGTTTTAGGCAGCTGTTGATCTCTATTCTGGTTGCTGCTTTGTGGAACGTTAAGAAGATCATCTGCTATCATGTCACGTGTGGGGAATGTTGAGAGGTTTATCTGCTGTCATGTTACATGTGCCATCTGATTAGCAAGGTTCATGTTGGTATTACACAGTCACTCCTGATTCAGTAGACAGTAAGGTATTGCCTTCCACTCAGGAACCTCAGAAATCTCATCCCGACTTTATGCTTTTTAAATGTTGGCTTACATCTCTCTATCTAGGGCACCTCAGACTTGACACTGAAGTACTGCGTAAGGAGAAAGACGGATTCTATAGACAAGAGATTTTGTTTTGATATTGAAACAAATGAAAGGTGAGCCAGAGCTGCTTTCCCTATTGCTGCAGTTTTGAAAATAATACACCACTTTCTTGGCATTTGGTGAGGGTGTGTCTGTTTTGACTATCCTAAAATTTGTTTTGTATGGAGAGGAAGATTATGCACCAGGGGGCAGTGCTGTCCTTCCTTGATTGCAGTCTTCATGCCTGATCTGAAGCCCACGGAAATCAGTGGATTTTTTTCTGTTGAATTCAGTGGGCTTTTTATGGGCCTTCTAATATTGTGAAAGGATGAGCACCATCCATGAGAACTTGAGGGCTCTCAATTTCTATTATCTTCAGCCAGGATCAGGCCATCATACTTTCCCATGTTTCTTTCACCCAGATACATATATTACCAGTCAGACATCTGGAGATTTTTAACGTGGGTTATTTTTCGCTTTACTCACTAGGGACCTGATTCTGTTCTCTCTGGAGTTGCTAATTTACCATGGGAGCAGAATCAGACCTAGGAGGAATGAATGTTTTGATGTCACACATGTGCTGTGCAGACTTGGTATGTGGTTAAGCCACAACTAAGGAGAAAGCACTAATTTGCAGATTACTTTATTGGGTCCTATTTTACTAGGAAAGGAAGGACACCCTGCTCAAAAATATAAAACAAACGGCAAACATTTGTCAATCTTTCAGCCTTTGATATTCCCACTTAATTCTGAAACTTAGACGGACTTCTCCCCTTCCTGAATTAATTATCTTGTGCCTGCACTAAATTTGACTGTTTTAATTTAGGCATTTGGAGCAGGAGGTTGCAAGTTACCTTGAGCTTGGAAAAGACACCAAATGCTTTGTAAATTTTCAGAAGTGGTGTGAGTAGGGTGAGAATGACACACAAATTTCAGGATTTGTGAGTTTCTGAGACTGTGCCGATTCTGTTTCTGTAGTTTGTGCCTTTTGGAAGAACGTAATAGTCTGCAGTATTTTAAAATGTCTAGAGATGTGCCAAACCTTTCAGCCCTTATTCTGTGTTGTTGGGCATCTTACCTGCCCAACGGTGGAGGAAGACTGAAGGAGTTTAGCCCACGAATCGTAATACATAGTTTGAGTTAATGAAAGCACCAGGGATTAATATAGAGACCTGTTTAGCAGTGGTGAAAGTAACTTAAAATTTCTTACAGGCCCTGTCCTATTGCAACTGAGGTCCCTGCCAGCTCTTTAAAGAGCTCCCTGCTAGCATTTGCCACAGCTCAGCTAGCTCTTGCCAGAGGTGTGCACCAGGGCGCTCTCGCTTACTGTCACCTCTGGTGCTTAGTGACTGTGTTGTAGCCTCAGCGGTTTGTAACAGCCACATTCTTGAACCTTGGCCAGTTTCTTACCGTAGTGATGGGAGATGCGTTGCAGGGGTGGGGGGGTCTCCACAACACAGGACACTGAGCCAGTATGGTAGGTAGGGTCATGGACAGTCTGTGCAGTGATGCGTTCGACAGTATAGTGTGACCTGAAAAAGTTCCACTCTCAGATTTTTCTTAGGATCCTGTTTTCTAATATATTAGTTAGTATTTCATCATGTTAGAATCATTTGTCACCTATCTGAGAAATCTACAAATAAGATAGCAATTAAGTATGAACATCATGGACCAAATCTACCCTCTGTTACATTGACTCCAGTGGGCTACTAGGGTCTAGCCGGGCAGAATATGACCAACTGTGTCATGCACCAGGGTCTTTTTACCATTTGACTCACTGGATTGTTCATTTGGGCGAACTGTACAGAGGGAGCTCTATATCTACACCTTGTTCAGTAATCCTAACAGAGCCAGGAGTGCCTGGTCCCCAGTTCTCCCCTGTCCATTTTCTTTGTGTCTTTTTCTCCATTATGGTGTTAATGAGTGGTGAATAAGGACATAGAAATTTCTCAGCTGAAACTGAGAGGCAGGGCCGACCTTAAGCATGTGCAGAATATACAGTGGAAACGCAGGGTGTGCCTAGGGCCATCACCAACCGGATGGGACAGCAAGAATAGGACAGCTGGGGCCATGGGCATAGGGCCGACAGCAGTTAGGAACCCAAGTAAAATGTGGGGTTGTTGCAGTACCTTCCAGTTCCTGCACTGATGCCTCCCTGCACTGCTCCTGCCCCCAGAGCCCTCAGTGCAACCTCTCCCCGAGGTGTTCCCCCATATAGGGCACCATAAATCTTAAGGACACACATGCTGAGAAGGCTCTGACTCAGAAAGGGAGAGGAACAATTCGTCTGACTCACACTGAAATGATTTTTCAGAAACCTCTGACTTTGCAGTGTTAACAATTGAAAAGACATGAGAAAATGTGCTAGGCTAGTAGCTATGAGAACCAGATGGGAGAAAGTATGTCTGGGTACCTTAGGCTGCAAATAAATGTACAAAGACACACCAAAACTAGTTTTGTCAGCATGATCAGTACATGCGTGACTTCCGTTTTTTTTACTGTGTCCAACACTTAGATGTGAGTACCGTGATAGATACATGCTTTAGAACAGTGTTTCTTAACCTTTATAAAAAATGTACCCCTTTTTCCAAAAAAAAGTATAAGTACCCCCTTAAAAAAAAAAGTACCCCCAGGGCCTACAGTTTTCAGGCTCACATTTTTTTCTACCATTTCAATACATTTGTTTAAACAACTTAATTGTAGCCGGGTGGGCAATTAAATTTTTGTGTGTAAAAAGTACAAAAATAACGAAGTGCTGTAAAACTTAAAACAAAAATTCAGTTTTCTCCAAATTTCAATTGTGTTGATGTACCTCCCAGACTTCTCTCGAGTACCCCTAAGGGTACTTGTACCACTGGTTGAGAAACACTGCTTTAGAAGTACTATGCATAGATAGATCATTGGAATGATGCATGTGTACTAACCTTCTTGAAGTGCCACTTTATTTAACTAGTTTCCAGAAACACACTTTGTAAATCTTGGATAAATTCATTTGTGTCTTTGCTTTAAACTTCTGGATAGAACTGGGACTATCACATTGCAAGCACTTTCAGAAGCTAATAGACGGCTATGGATGGAGGCCATGGATGGAAAGGAGCCAGTGAGTATTTAAAGAATTGTCTCATTTATAGATGTGCATTTTAGTAGTATTCTTCAGTGGTGTAATTTCACACAGACAAAGCGAGTATTGATAATTTAGTTTTGGAAAGCTCACCTTTCTGGGTGTCCTCGTGAGATTGGGTATGTAATAATCAGCATCATTATTATGGTATAGTCCGTAACACAGGTATCAGTTTAGCGAAAAGATATGTAAAATTAGATTTCTCACAGTCATTGAAGGAACTGTTACCATATTGTCCTGTCCACTTGTATCCTTTGATATTTGATGTTTCAGTTCTGCTGTTTATACTGGCATCAACTGGAACCCATAAAAATGTGACGTGCAGGAATGGAAAACTGGCACAGAATCTGCCAGTGTTTCTGTTATTCAAACCAAAAGCTTTTAGATCTGTATGATGTAATTTTGGTCTTGCATGCATAATATTCCTGCTTGTAAATCTCTCATCTGAAGTTGTGATATTGTGAGTGAGAGAGACAAAAAGAGAGAGGATCAGAAGTTTTCTAGTCTTTTCTGTGATTCTTTTTTGGTTTCCTTATTTTAATCCAAGACAGCATAAATTTCTCTATTAGACAGAATTTCCTGTACATAGAGAATGCCATGTGCAATATAGCAAAATACATTCAATGCAATTCCCGTTGCCCACTGGCTGCTCCTTTTCCCTAATCAGGCTGTCACTATCCAATGCCTCTGTTTAAAAGAGTTGCACCTAATTTAGGGCTCAAAGACCTTGAGTTGGCCAGAGTAACTCAGAGCTGTATTGATGGGGCTGAGTGTGCAGGGACTGGAGCCTATCAGATGGGTTCCTAGATGCTTCTCACAGAACCTGCTTTGTGGGTCCTGAAGGTGTGGGATTAGAGTTCAACCTGTAATAAGCAATGTAAAACAAGTAGTGGGTAGCAAATGCTTGTGGTTTTGGTGTTAATATGGGTATATGGCAAAACGCACTGAACTTCCATGAGTGCCCTCTGTCAAATGGGTGTGACTCTGCACTTTCTCTCTCTTTGCGGTGCCTCCTGCCAGCTGCTGCCCTTCTCAGGCATGTCTTCAGTGGCTCAGCCCTTGGGCCAGAGCACATCTTGTCAGCACACGAACAAACCCTTTCTGGAGCAAAATGTCTTAGAGGGTCCTGTCTCTGTGTTTTTAACAATCTTTTTAGCGCGATCTCTGAGCTCAGTCCTTAGCCCCTTCAGGGCTAGTTTTAAATACAGCCATTACTTGGACCTCTAAAGAAGTTTTAAACCTCCGCAGGGCTTAGGTTACTCTGACAGTGGCTGGAAGGAGAAGCTGTGCCAATGCATTACTCTGGGTCCCAACCCAGGAACCCTATCAGCAACAGCCACATGCTGCTTCTTGTAATAGTTGCTGCTGCTTTTTCCTCGGCCACTTGCCATTTAGCCCCTTCTTCTTCACCCTTACCTCAAGACTTAAGTTCTTCCTTGTGTAGCCATCTTAGAACACTGGCAAAGAACACCTTCTTTGCTCCTGTGGTCACCACCTGGAATTGATCTGCGCAGGCCCTACAGCTCCTTTTACCTGAGCCTGCTGAGTTCTGATTGGCTGCCTCCACCAGTCTTTTCTGAGGTAGCCTATGGTAGGACTATGACTGAGGCCTCAAAAGGGCCCAGAACACTACATCACAGGATGAAGAAGAGCAATTCCTTTACCCTTCCTTTGGACAGCAAGAAAGCAGTTTGTGTGAATATATACAAATATTGAGAAATAAGGAATGTGACCATGGCCATATTAGATTGCCATTATATTAATAACACAATTTATAAACCTTGTAACAATATCATACACTTTTGTAGCACCTTCCCTCATCCCTTTATATACAATAACAAATTATTCTGCAGTGGTTAAATACTGGACATTGCTATAATTCTGAATGGTTAAGCAATTTATTATTATTCAGTGTAAATATAATTGTGTCTAACTGCATAGCTTCTAGACCTATTTTTACTAACAGAGAAACAAATAATCTTTGTGTACAGTGTGGGGAGGTATATCCAAGGGAAATAGGTGCCTCAGTGAATCTAATGGATGTTACAACCCCTTGCTTGACCATAGTGCTGCATATGGTTTAATATTTTGCTTTTGAGAGCAAAGTGTTAAACAGTATTGAATGTCTGTGTTTTTCTTTGAGTTGCTGGATTCTCCTGGGACAGTAATTCTCAACTCATGCCTGGTTTTGCTTTTGTTTCTCTCTCCTTTCCCCTAGATCTACCACAGTCCCATCACAAAACAGGAAGAAAGTGAGTAATTCAGGTTCTATTATTCTGAAATGTTAAAGACCTGCTTGTGCTGATGCGATATAATGTTTTAATTTGTGAGTGTGCACATTGTTGCTGTGTGCTAGATGGAATGTATGTCACACCTGCTCACGTGCTCCTTGGTTCCCTCCACTCAGTGAACAAGTAGACCAAAGATATCTTTAGGGCAGGGATGGCCAATAATTTTTGGTGGGAGGGGGCACTCCAAGAATTTGGTAAGCGGTCAAGGATTGCATTTTTCCATGCAATTAATGGATGAGGTGTGGGGTCTGGGATGGAGATAGGGTGCAGAAGAGAGCTCAGTGCAGGAAAGGGTGAAAGGTCTGGGAGGGAGAACATGTACAGGAGCAGGGGTGCAGAGGGGTTGGGTTACATGGGACAGGAGTGCAGGAGGAGACAGAGGATTGGGGGGAAGGAGGGGCTGGGATATCAGAGGGAGGTTCTGGCCGGGAGGTGCTTACTTAAGTGGCGTCCAGCCAGCAGACCAGCTGGTTTCTCAGGCAGGCTCCCTGCCTGCTGCAGTCCTGCATGCTGGCTCAAGGGACTATGTGCTGCTCTGAGCACAGCAAGCTGGAAGTGGAAGGGGAGAATATTTAACCTACTGCCTGCCCTACAAGCAGACCGTTCCCAGAGCTGTGAGATTGTGCTGGAGGAGGGTCAGCATGCAAAGCTTGTTTTCCCCCTCCCCTGGGCTCGCAGCAGTGCTCAGAGATGCATAGATCTCCATAGCTGGCTGCTCTGGGTGGCTTGAGGGGTCAGCCTGAAACTCCTGCTGGGTTGCAAGCTGGATCCAGCAGTTTGGCAAGTTGGATTGGGCTCACGGGTCATATTTTGCCCAGCCCAGCTCTGGGGTCTGCTCCCACAGGATGATGAGTACCCTCAGGTCTCAGTGAGGGTTGAGGGTGATCAGCACCTTACAGGGTAAGGCTTTTAGCTCCCTATGTGGAGGAGGAACTTGTGCTAAATTTTAACCCACTTAGAAAAATGCAGGTTCCAAATGTAGAACTTTTGTCTGTATCTCTTTTGAGGTTCATGTCCTAAGGTTTGTCTACACTACAGCACTAATTCGAACTAACTTAGTTCGAATTAGTTAATTCGAACTAAGCTAATTCGAACTAACTCATCTAGAACTAAAAACTAGTTCGAATTAGCGTTTTGCTAATTCGAACTAGTGCGTCCACATTAAGTGGACCCTGAAGCTGGGTTAAGGATGGCCGGAAGCAGTGCTGGCAGGGCATCAGAGGAGGACTTAGAGCGTGGAGCTGCTGTCTCAGGCTAGCCGAGGGCTGTGCTTAAAGGGTCCCGACCCCCACCCTGGACAGACTCAGGGGTGCCCCGCTTGCAAAGCAGTCCTGGCTTGGATTGCCCGGAGTACCCACACTGGGCACATCACAGCACTCGGCCATCAGACCGGCTGCACTTGCCGCAGGCTGCCATCTGGGGAGAGAGGGCAATTGGGGGGCTGCAGGAGAGCTTCCACCCCCAGAAGCCCACAGAGCCAGCCCAGTCCTCCCCATCGGGGGCGCATACCCCATTCCTCCCTCACCTCCTTCCACTTATCCCTCCCTAGCCCCCCTTCCTGATGTACAAAATAAAGGACACGTGTGTTCAAAAATAGAAACTCTCTTTATTGAACAAAACTCGGGGAGACTGGGAAAAGGAGGTGGGAGAGGGGAAGAGAGAGGGTGGGAGAGGGGAGGGCAACTAAAATGATCAGGGGTGTGGAACAGGTCCCGTATGAAGAGAGGCTAAAGAGACTGTGACTTTTCAGCGTAAAAAAGAGGAGACAGAGGGGGGATATGATAGAGGTCTATAACAGCAGGAGTGGTGTGGAGAGGGTGCATAAAGCAAAGTTCTTCATTAGTTCCCATAATAGAAGGACTAGAGGACACCAAATGAAATGAATGGGTAGCAGGCTTCAAACTAATAACAGAAAGTTCT